AGATAGTGGTGTCGATGAAAGATGAGAAGTTTTGATGCATTCATTGCAAGCGGCAGAGTAGCTGCTTTCTTTTACCCTGACAAGGCTTTGATGCCATTCATGGATATCCAACAGGCAGGAAACCAAGAGGTAAAGATCTCCACCCCGATTTATTTTTGTACTAGGGAAAGCCACACCTGTTGAGCTTTTTTCCAGAGCGGTGTTTCACACACCAAAAAGAGGAATGAATATGGGTGAAGGAGAGCCTTTTTAAAGTCAGTTTGAGGGGGGCAGCAGATTGTAGAAATATAATAAGGGGGAAAGCTTCCCTTAACAAGAGATCCAGAAAGAATACGGGAAAGTCCTAATGCCAGTGGGGAATTATATGTTTTGTATTTGTAAAAATGCTAGCAAAACAAATATGGCTGGGTGGGGTGGAGAGCTTAGGGTTAGGTGGACTCACATCAAGAGTTTGGAAAATGACTCTTTGGATGGTGATTTCTGGAATTCCCCAACACCATAAATGGAGGTGCCTCTGGAAAATAAGCAAATTTCCAAAACTCAGGTCACCACTGAGAATATTTGTATGTTTAAGAATAAGAAGAAAGCCCCGTGGGAATTTATTTAAGCCACATTTCAACCCGGCGTGCCATTTTTAGGGCCAGGGGCTCTTGGAATGTGTGTGTGGAAAGGCATAAAAGATGAGGTGCCGTCGGAGGTACTGTATTGCCGATAAATTCAGAGGGGCCAGGGGAATACCTTGGCTTGCCTTTTTGCCATTAACGTCAGTAAAATCTGCAGAAAACCACTAGATCAGTGGAGACTGATCAGCGGAGACTAGAACACATTTCTTACACATTTAATGATGCCGAGCTGTTTTTAAAAAGGCATGACTCCTACAAGCGGCTGAAACAAATGTCGCCGCCAGCAGCTTGTGGGTTTTTCAAGATGCAACCAGATGATGGGTCTGGGACCAAAGAGGAAAGCTTTCATTCCTTTTTAAGCAGAGCTGAGCCCCCCCAAAAAACCTTCTGGTTACAAAATAAAGCTGAGTCCAGTGAGTGTGTGAGACCACACAGGGGCAAGCCGGGTGTGAAAGGGTTCAAAACAGCTCCTCAGACGTGCAGGAGACTGAAAGAAGCACGGGTCAGGGAGGCAGAGAAAAGTCGCCAACTTTATTTGTTTATACGCCCCTGTGTTTTTAGCAGCCAGTTTTGTTGCCTGGCCTCTGTTGTAGAAAGATAGCGCTCACAACCAACCTCAAAAAGATGGCCACACCAAAGCAAAGATGTGACTTGCTGAAGGTACAGAAGCCCTGTCTTTCTTTTTGAGCTGTCAAGAGCACAGGAGCCCTGTCTTCCTTTTTATGTGGCCACTATACATCTACAGGCCGAGGCAAAGAGGCTGTCCCGAAACCAGCAAAATCAGGGAGCTGGACAGGGGACAGATTGTCTTCAGTGTGGAAGGGATGGTCACTCTCGAATAATTGGCCTCCTCAGCCACACTAGATGCTGTTCCAAGTCCTCTATTCAGATCCCATTACCATAGTCTTTCGGGACTGAAGGATGCCTAAATCTAATCTACATCTACAGTGTAAATCATTAATATTGGTTGTTGTTTTTTATCTGATCAAAATACTATGGAAGACGCAGAAGTAGATACAGAAAAGTTGGTCTGGTTAGCTTGTGGCTAGCTATCTGGAGATGCTGGGCTAGAATTTAGAGCAGGAAAGAAAATGTGCACCCTTCGAATTGTTCTTGAATGGCCACTTCTTCCATTCTTGACCACTGGCCATAAGGACTAGGGCTGAGGTTTTCCAGTCCACCAGCATCTAGACCAGTGATTCCCAAACGTGGGTAGCCCAGGTGTTCTTGCACGGCAGCTCCCAGTAAACCCTGGCCAGTACATTTGAATTTAACTTAGCTAGTGTCACCAACATCTCCCTGTTCCTTTCGTGGCTGCATTCCTCTGCTTTTAACTATTCAGTAACATATGGGGAGATATAAGCTGAAACTGTGCTTGCCAGCTATGGAGGAAACCTCACCAATTGAACCTCTGCCTTATCACACATGCCCGCCGACAAAGATGGTCCTGTTACTTCATACCTGACCAAAGCTAAGAGCTATAGAGCAGGGGTGGGCCACGTTTAACTGTCCAGATGTTTTCAACAAAAGCTCTCATCGTCTTTCACAATTGGCAGTGTTGGTTGGGGTTGACGGAGCCCATCGTTTAACCAGATGCAAAAGGCCACAGGTTGATCTTCCCTGCTGTGGAAGAGCAGAGATGACATTAATGCTGCAGGATATGTATGGGAAATGTGGGGGTTTTTGCTCTTCTTCATTCGTATCAGAGTGTTGCTCAACTTACGGATGAATGTGAAATATAGGTAAAACTAAAAACAGATTAAAAGGTGAAGATGTAAGACTATTTTTGACCAGACTACTTTAGTAGGGCTCTCTCAGCCATTTCCTAAGTCTTCTGTACATGTAGTGGGGTATAAATTGCATGCACACAAGTACTGCCTTGATTGAATTCCTCCACAGTCCCAGAACATTTGTCCTGTATCCAAGTATCCCCATTTTACTTCATTTTTTTAATCTTCCTTTTTTGCTCCAAGGCCTGTTAAGTGTTAAGGGTCCAGCTAGAATCTTGTCGTGGTAGTGTGTTTTGCTGATAATGAGGGGGGGGCAGGTTTCTCTTCTCAAAAATGATGCGTGTGAGGCTCCCAGGTTTGTATCCACTAAAAAGAAAAGGCCAATCCAAGAGATAGCAGCTAAAGGCTCAAAAATCTCCGGTAACTCATAACAGGGGAATAACTTCTCGAGTTTAAAGTTGGAAATGGAAGACATTAAAGCTGGTGGTATAAATTAATTTCATTTTTATTGCTTGCCCCAAAAGGGTGGAGTTGAAAGGTTTTTCTCCCTGAGGTTTTCTACCTCTCTCTTCCCCTCCCACCACCACCCTCCGGTTTTATTTTTTATTTTAAGAACCACTCTTTGCTTGACCGTTCATGAGCTTTCTGTCAAACCTGAACACAGATCAGTTCGTAAACAGGATACCGGATGCCTGCAGGTACAGATGGAAATGAAATAAGAGGAAGTGAGAACTGAAAGAGCTAAAAATGGTCAGAAAGTTTTGCCAGATGCTCTGGGTGGGCAGCAAAGGGCGTCTGAGCCAAAGAGCTTTGGTTAAGGAGGCCAAAATTGATCTCAGGACCTGTACTTTAAAACCTAAGGTCTTTGACTCAACGTTGAAAAGTTACTCTGTTTTTTGACCTATAATTGCCAGTTCTTACAGCTATCATGGTCCTTGGCCATGCAGATGGTGGTGATTCTGAGAATTATAAACTCAGGAAAAGTAACCTCTCCACACTGTACTTTGACCGAAATCAGGGTTTGGTTTCTTGGCTGGCCAGAAATGCCATTGCTATATTTTCTCGTTTTTCCTAATCTTGCCCTTTTGACATATTGAATGTACGAATGAAACATTTTTCTCACACTGTCCCTCTAAACATTATCATAAGAGCCAAACCAAAGGGTTGAAAGCACAAGGCACAAGGCTGAAAGCACTGAAAGCACAAGGCACAAGGCTGAAATTTTGACCACGGGTGTACTTCCATGCTTGCTAAATTCTATTTTCAAAATTCAGGGCCGTGGATTTCTGGATTGAATCTATTCTTCTTGTGTTTAATTTCCTCCTTCATCGCTGCATTCAACTCTCCCCTATGGAATCTCTATTTGGCTTTGGGAGACAAAGTGTGTTTGACTGAAACTGTGATTCTATGCATAATTACTATTTCACGATGAATAGGAGTTCTGAAGGATCGCCACAGTACAATAATGTAAAGCGGTGTTAATTGAATGCCAGTGCCACTTCATAGCTACTTTGGCCATAGGGAAGGTAATAATTCAAGGAAGGGTGCCCTAAGACGCATGTTTAACAATACAGACTTAGGGTTTAATTGAAGTTGAGGGTCAAGAGAAATCTGTCATTCCATCTGAAATATATATACAGCTGATTTCTTCATTCATTAAATCGATCTAACATTCAGGGAGCCACCAGTGGTGGCTAAACACAGTTGAGCATCTCCTACACACAGTCCGGTATCGGAAGCTGCTCAGCTTTTATGAATCTCAAGTTCCTCAAAATAACCTTTGAAAGAGTCCAGCAAGGCCTGACGGAAGCTCAGAAGTCAAGAGGCAGAGCATCAGATGCGCTTTGCTAGGCAACTCCTTGACTCAGGATGAAGGAAGAGTAGGATAAAGGATGCAAGACTCTTAACTCCAGGTTGACTTGGTGGAAGACGCTAGACAAAATTTGAACCACAGATAAAAGTGAAGATGTTAGTGAATCCTGAGGTGAGGGAAGCAGTTCAAGATAGCCAATGACGTCCGCTTGAACTGCAATAAGAGTCTATGAGTGAGGGAAGATAACCATGTTATAAGATGCCTTGGTCATCATCACACTTCATTCTAGGTAGGGTTTGGCATCTTTCAGCTAACCTTCAAGAACCAAGGACGAACTCTGGGACACAGGTCTATCTCCTGTGTCCCAAAGCTGTAGGAACATATATGGAGAACCTATCCTCATGGTGTCTCTTTCTGTCCTCCCTTTCAGCGACCCCCACTGCCCCTACTGTGTTCCCGTTGTGTCCCTGTCATCAGGATCTATCCACCGTCTCTGAGGTGACCATTGGATGTTTGGTCACAGGCTACTTTCCCGAACCGGTGACAGTGCAATGGAATTCAGGAGCCATCTCCACCGGCATCCGGACCTTCCCAGCCATGATGCTCTCTTCCAGTGGGCACTACACCCTCAGCAGCCAGCTCACCATTCCCATCTCTCGCTGGGAGTCGGGGAACTTCCAGTGCAATGTGGACCATACAGCGACCAGATCAAAAATCAACAAACAGGTTGAACGTGGATCATGTATGTGAATCATGGACCATAATTTACCCACTTACTTTCTTTCTTTCTTTCTTTCTTTCTTTCTTTCTTTCTTTCTTTCTTTCTTTCTTTCTTTCTTTCTTTCTTTCGTTCGTTCGTTCGTTCGTTCGTTCGTTCGTTCGTTCGTTCGTTCGTTCGTTTGTACGTTCGTTCGTTCGTTTGTACGTTTGTTCGTTCGTACGTTCTTTTTTTCGTTCATTCGTTCGCACATTCATTTGTACATTCGTTCATTCGTACGTTCATTTGTTCTTTCTTTCTCTTACACAACCTATCAATCTGGCAGAAAGGGAAGAAAGCTCAGATATATGGGTGGGAAACCACAAGTCGTTGTAAAAAAAAATCAGGGACATTTTTCGAGCACCAGCAGCACATAAAATGACCACAGCCCACCCAGCCGAATAAAACGCCAGTCACTTTCTAACATACAATGTAACCATAAAATGAAATCATTTATAGATATATATTGGATTGCAGAACCCAGAATCCACAAATAAGCCACTGCTTATTCTGTCCGGGTGTTTGGAGGGTCTCAGTCCAAAGAAATAGCTCTCCACACATAATTTTCGCAAGAAAAGGAGAAAAGGTCTCAGTCCGTGGTTCTTAGCTTTGGAAGCCCAGATGTTCTTGGACTAAAACGCCTAGAAGCCTTCACCTCTAGCTGTACTGTCCAGGATTTCTGGGAGTTGTAGTCCAGGAACATCTGGGAGTCCAAGGTTGGGAGCCATTGGTCTAAGAGATCAAGTCAAAGGACAGATGGGAGTTGTCACAACTGGTCTCAGAAGCAGAGCCCATAATGCCATGACACCCAGCCCTTCACTATTTCCAGAATGAAGCTGTATTTTAAGGAGATCCATTTCATCCATTTCCCCCATCATTTTGTTTGTAGTGAAGGCTACCGGGATTGCCTTCTGCACAAATCCGATATTGCATTCTCTAGCTTACGTCATCCTGATTTTATTCTCCATAACATTCAGTGTGGTGATATAATCCAGGCAATGACCAGAGACCTAGGTGTTCCTTACAACACCTCCCAGTATCCCCCAGCTAGCTTGGCTGTTGTCTGGAGGATTCTGGGAGTTGTAGTCCCCCTCCAAAAAAATAAAACATTTCCATGCTCGTGCTTCCTCTATATCAGGAGGAGAGAAATCTACCTTCTTTACTCCCATCTATTTTTACATCGCAGTTTTGCCCAAGGGAGTCATGGAGTGGAGAATAGTGACCCTGGTTTCAGAGGACCGCAGTGCGTCTGCTTTGGGATTTACAGGAGCTCTCCATGGTGCTGAATTTACTGTGGAGATAGGAACCAGCACCTGCACGGTTCGGACTAAAACCTAGAACAGATTCACTGCCTCCATGACCTCAGTCACCAGCTCCCACAGAGGTAACACTGAAAAATCAGTGGAAGCCAGGTGCTCTGGGGATGGGGAGAGTTATCACCTGACAGCTGTATTGCCGAAAGCTGAGCATTCGTAATAACTCGCCATTTATCTCCGATCCATCCAGCCTGCAAGACAACCAGAACCACACCAGTAGCCCCTGTGGTCAGCCTGCTCCACTCTTCCTGTAATTCCCAGTCCTCTGATGCCCTCATTCAAATGGTCTGCCTTGTCAAAGGCTTCAGTCCCAAAGAGGTGACAGTAGAGTGGCTTACCGGTGACCAAACGGGGCTGCTGTCCTCATACACAGAGGAACCCAGGAAAGACGAAAATGGGCACACCTTCAGTACCATCAGCACAGCCAACATCAGCCAATCAGATTGGCAAGATGGGGCTGCAGTTACCTGCCAGGTAACCCACCCGGCAACCAGCACAAAGGTGAAGAGCACTGCCAAGAAATGCGAAGGTAATAGAACTGTGGTCTCCCTTGGACATTTATTGGGTAGGTCAAAGTTGGCATGGGTGGGAAACAGAAGGCAAGAGGGTAGAAGGCCAATTTGGGGGGGGGGGCAAATGCTTTCCTAACCCTCCTACCAAAGGCACTCTTGGGTGTGATTCTCTCCACTGGAGCAAGAAAAATTAACTCAGCTAGAGGTAGGGTTCTTTTCATTGAATCAAAGCCTTGTAGATCTGGAAGGGACTCTAAAGGGTCAGCAAGTCCAGTTCCTGCCCCTGGCCAGGAAGAACCCCCCACCTCTAAAGCAGGGAATGACTATGGGCTCTCCATCCACCTTTAACAACCACTAACTCTGTAGCGTCCACCATCTTCCAAGGAAATACACTCCCCTGTTCAACAGTTATCACCATCGCAAAGTCCTATTTGGAATCTTCTTCTTTCAAATTTGAATGCCTTTGGTCTTATCCTCTCAAACTGTAGAACGCACACTTGCTCTGTCTTCCAAGTAAGGGTTGTTCGGGTGATGGCGTCCAGTCTTTTTGTCCCCAAGCTACAGAGATAGGGCCCTAAACCCCCTCTAGGTGGTGTCTTCTCACACCAGCAGGCCAAAAGTTTGCAATAGTTTTATTCATTTCATAGAATCATAGACTAATGGAGCCAGAAGGGGGCCTATCAGGCCATCAAGTCTAACACCCTGTTCGATGCAGGAATCCAAATCAAAGCAGATCCAAGACAGGGTGGTCTAATTTTCTCTTGAATGCCTCGCGCCTTGGAGCCGTCCTCCCCTTCTGAGGTAACTGGTTCCATTGTCATACTGCACAAACAGTTGAGAAGTTTTTTTTCCCTGATATTCAACCTAAATGTGGCATCCTATCGCTTGAGACCGTCCTTACATGTCCTGCGCTCGGGAATAATCAAGAACAGATCCTGCCCCTCCTCTGTAGAACGACCTCTCAAGTATTTGAAAAGTGCCATCCTATCCCTCCTCGGCCTTCTTTTCTCAAGGCGAAGCATGCCGAGTTCTTTCCGTCTTTCCTCCTAGGGCTTAGTTTCCCGTTGCCCTCCTCTGAACTTGCTACAGATTGTTGGCATCCTTCTTCAAATGGACACAGTACTCTAGATGAGCCCTATCCAGCGCTGAATAGAGGGGGACTAGCGCTTTCATTGACTCCCATTAACTACCACAGGGGAGGCACATTTATTACACCTGCAATACACTCCTTTGTTTAAAAAGAAAAGATGTGGAGGGGCGGGCTTAACCTGGGTGCTTCCGTTCTTAGGATCCTCCTCAGATATTAGAGTCTTCATCCGGCGCCCGGACCCCAACGACGTCTTTCTGGAGAGACGTCCCAAGCTCACCTGTGTGATTAACAACTTGCAGAGCGATCATGGACTGGTAGTCAGCTGGTCTCGGGAAAAGAGTGGCCAACTGGTTGTTGAACCCATCGAAGTGAAAGATGAGGTGAACGGCACCCTCACCGCTTTTAGCAAGTTGATCCTCTTTGATCAAGAATGGCTGTCAGGAGAGACCTTTACTTGCACCGTGAAACATCCAGACCTGCTTCTCCCGAAGACCGCCAGGATTAGCAAGAAACAAGGTACGTGAGACCCAAAGGTTGAGTAAAAAAATCATCGGCCAGGATGTCTCTCATCGGCCAGGATACAATTGAGCCAAATGTGACAGTAGTTTCAGGGGGGACGGGAACCCTATTGAAGACTCATGTAGGGAAAGAGGAGGACCCAATAAGAGATGGTTTGTCCCCATAAAAAAGCTACAGCTTTGAGTTTACACAGCCTGGGCAGAGCTGTTAATGGTAGGATATTCTGGAGTTCACTCATTCACCATCAGTTGCAGGCGAGTTGACGGCACTTAACAACAACAGAGTAGTTTAGGTCTAGGAAAAGGGGCTGCGTGAATGTATTAAATCTCAGTTTGTGTTCTTACTGACTCATCATCAGCAGAAAAATCATGCCAGCTGGGCAATTTTGGACATTATTGTCCACAAAAGTAACTTTGTTGAGCCCCCAGGCTTCTTAGGAGACCTCCTGGAATCCCTCGGCCTTTATATTCACCCCGTCCTGCACAGGAAGGCTTCTGTGTTCATTGAAGATCAAAATTGCAAGGAAGCCTTTACAGTGGGGTTCTGTATTCAAGTCTCGGGCAGGGTTCTGGCGTTTCCCAGTGGTCTCCCAACCAGGCACGACGCCGATCTGCCCAGCTCAGCTTCTGAAACTAGACACCATCAATGATGTGCCCCAAGTATGGGAGGAACAGCTCATCGGCCACTCACAGCCTCCTCTCAGGAAGACCTATGGCTCTTCTCTTGATGAAAGAGAGAGTCTTCCTAGCCTCCCTTCTGGATCCCTCTTCCCTACATGGTTTCCACCAGGGATGTTGGACCCAGTCAGGGTCTTTGGTACCAAAGTCTTGAGGTCAAAGGCCTAAGGCTGAGTCCCTATTAAAAATAAGGTTTTATTACCCAGAGTCCCCATCCCTGGTTTCCATGATCTCCGCCTAAACTTAATAACCATTTCCTTCCTCTCTTTCTGTCACACTCTGTGTCTCTGCACACCACAGAGGCAGCCACCGCTCCCAAATTGTATCTTTATCGTCCCCACCATGAAGAGCTCATCTCTAACGGCAGACATGTCTCCGTCACCGCCATGGTCAAAGGGTTCAAGCCCAACGAAATCAGCCTGAGCTGGCTCAAGGGCAACGAAGCCCTTCCCGAAGACAACTTCGTCACCTCCCCGGTCCTCAGCGACGGCGACGGCACCTACGTTCAGTTCAGCAAACTCAAAGTGCTCAAGTCCGAATGGAACCGAGGCGACTCCTTCTCTTGCATGGTGGTCCACGAAGGCCTGCGGATGAAATTCATCCAGAAAAACATCGAGAAGTCCCAGGGTAAAAAATGAAAAACGCCTTCGTCTAGCGTTACGTCGTCTTCTGCCCTAGTCTGGAATTTGGCCTTGTGTTGTTAAAGCAAACCTTTTGTAAATAGTTTCCACTTATGCAGAATAAAAAAAAATGAATGTCCTATGGCTGAAACAGACATGTTCATTACTGTAGTCTCTTCCAGTACGATTCAGGACTGGTGTGATGTGGATGGGTGGGTTCTGTGGCGCAGAATTAATCTTAAAAAAATCCCCAAATAAATAAAATACCATGGTTTACGTTTGCTAGCAGAGGGGTTCCTTTAACATTCTCTTAACTGTATTTCATCTTCTCAGCCAAGATCCTGAAGACCTCTCGGTTGGGTTTCTCTTTGGCCACCTAGTTTGGTCAGCCAGAGCTGAGATTGGGTGACTTTTTATCCCTCAAGCTGTTCAATAAGCTTCATGGCTGAGTGGTAATTAGATCCCAAGTCGCACATACTGTACCTCTTCCTGGCCTACATTCAATCATCTTCCACTGCCTCGCAATGCTTGCCCTACCTATTTCTATCATGCTCTCAAGATGTACTGTTTTTATCATAAGATTAGGAATTCAAGGCAAAAGAGTCTGTTCTAATACCAACTAAATATATTTTGCAAAGGAGTTTACTTTCAAATCCCTCCCAAATTCAGGTTCTATTCCAGCCCCCAAACCTTCTTATTCCTAGCCCAAACTCACCACTTTCTTGCCCTCAGACAATTTTCCCCAGCCCTCAATGCCACATAGAATCTTCATTCCTAATGACGCCCATCAATTTTCTGCATCGTTGTATACCATGTTCATGACGCACCTTGAAACTTGGTGTGTTTTTTATGCCAAAACCAGGTCCAAAGGTCCATCTCAGTGCGCCTTACCTGTAATGAAGCCATGATGTTTTGAGGAAGAGACAGAACATAGGGAGGTATTAAGAGTTTCATCTTGGTCATACAACAGGTTATGATGGTCAGGGGGATTCTTGTACTTCTGGTCCAAAAAAGTAACTTTTCCAAGCTCTTGCAAGTGTACTTGTATACAGAACCACTGAGAGGGGGAAATGCATTCATACTGAGTTATAATCTTTGCCTACGAGCCTACCACTGCCACATTGCTGAAAACTAGATGCTGGAATAGAAGGAATCCTAAGCTTGTAGTATCTTAAGGTATCCCACAAAAGTCTGTGAGTGTTGCAATGAAAACAGACACAGAGAGTGGAATTACGGGAAACATAGGGCTAGAGTTTCAAGGAACACTCTCGCAATCAAAGAATACATACTCATCTCCATGTTGTTGTTGTTTAGTCATTAAGTGATGTCCGACTCTTCGTGACCCCATGGATCAGAGCACGCCAGGCCCTCCTGTCTTCCCCTGCTTCCTGGAGTTGGGTCAAATTCATGTTGGTCGCTTCGATGACACTGTCCAACCATCTCATCTTCTGTCGTCCCCTTCTCCTCTTGCCCTCACACTTTCCCAACATCAGGGTCTTTTCCAGGAGTATTCTCATCTCCATATGCGTACCTTAAGCCAGGATCTTTGATAACAATGGTGTGCTAAGTCAATTCCAAATTATGGTGACCCTTTCCAGGGCTTTCTAAATGGACAATATTCAGAAGTGATTGACCACTTTCTTCTTCTGCAGACAGTCAGGAACTACGTAGCTTGCCCAGGGCCACACAGGCTGGCTTCTTTCCTGGGAGGAACAACAGAAAATCAAACCCTCAACCTCTGGCTTTTCTTCCAGATGCCTAAACCACTGAACTGTCCAGGTCTAATCCTGGGACATATAAACTTCCCACAGCAAAGACAAAATGAGTTTGATGCTCACTTGAGCTTCATCCTTTATTTTGGAAACCTATCGTCAACACATGATCTAGTGCTGCTTCCAGATCCACGCAACTGTCATAAACCATGTTTCACTCTGGTTTGAAACCTGTTCGGAACACTGCTTCTCTGCCAATGACACTATGAATGGCGTGGAGAGTTTGTGACTCAGAAGGAGTTCAGGGTAGACATGCCCGAGCATGTATGGAGGCACAAAATGGCTCAGCCATAAGTGGTATCAACATGGCCCCTCAGTGATGTGCAAAGGGAGGAGCATTCTAGGCTCATTTGGCCAAAATCCTGTTGTGAAACACCACCTCCGTAACAGTGTAGTTACACAATTTACCAACTGTCAGTTGTGCGCCCAGTCAGACCGATTGTGCACCCGTTCACACAGCTAAAAGTATGGCAGGCCGCAGCATACGCGTTTGCTGTTAGCCGACAGAAATCTGGTTCTCAGTGGTTTTTAACATTTCCGTCAAAATTGATGCCCAGGAATGCTAGCGTTTGTGATCTTTCTAGGGAAAATAATACAAGACAGTATTAGAAAAAACTATTTGGTGCTAATAAAAAAATGGGCACAAGACCAAAAAAATGATTATATATAAATGTAGAACCACAAGTGGATCAGCATGTACTTAACTTGTATTCATTGATCCCTTCAGTATTGTATATTCATTGTTACTAAGTTAAATACGTACTGCCTTTTAATTTTTTAAGCCACCTTTTTAAGGAAAAAAGCAAGTGAAAAATATTTTTTTAATTTTTTAAGCCACCTTTTTAAGGAGAAAAGCAAGTGAAAAAAATATTTTAAATAAATAAATGAACAAATAAATAAATAGTCATGCCGCCTTCCTATGGAAAGGCAGCATCATCTATTATTTGGAAGAGTTCCTTAGAAACTGCCCACAGAAGAGACAAAGGTTAGCTTATTAAAATATCAGAGCTTGGAAAGCTACTTTTTTAAAAGGAATCATTATTATTACTCATTACAGTTTCTTTTAAAAAAACTTGTCACGGTTACTTGTAGTTGTTAGTACTAACTCATTATATCACTCATTACATTACTTTTTGGGTCCTCTTTCTGAAGGGAGGGAGCCCGTTTAAATTAAAAAGAGAATAGTCCAAGATTCAGGAGAAATGCCGGCAAACGGATCCCTCAAAAAATACAAAATTCTCTCCCCCAAAAAAGTAGCAGGTCAAAGCAACCATTAAAATTATGTGGGAGGAAATAGCAGGCCACCGGTTGCTTTCAAAATAAATGCCATGATGCCTTCTTTACCTCAAGGGATATTTTACTGGGAACATTGTTCCTTGTAACTTATGATGACAGTTTTTTTTAACTGTCTACACACGGACATATCACCTCTTCTTTCCACACGTCTCATCCTTCAGCTGATCCTTCATTACCCCTGCCCCACCAGTGACAAACAGTCATTTCAATTTATTAGTTATAGTTACTTAAGATGATTGTTCATCCAGATTCCAATCTCCACTCAGCCATGAAGCTTATTGTATGACTCGCCGTAGTTACCCCCTTATAAAACAGACCCATTAGAACTAAGTTGAGACATATTTTTTCCCATAGTCTCCTCAGATTTCTTCTGGATTGTTCCATCTGTCCTTCCGCTGTGCCTATGTATAGTCTTAAGGAGAGTTTACTATGAGGGGAAAGTAGTCAAGAATTGGTTTTAGTTCTTTGGATCATACACGTCTTGCTAGAGGATCATGATGCCCAATGGCCGCAAGAAAAGAGCATGGCATATTAGTTGTGTAGAGACTATTTGAAAGAGTTTGCGCCTCATGTTCTTGGACTGCAACTCCCAGAAGCCTTCACCACCACCTCTGCTGGCCAGGATTTCTGGGAGTTGAAGTCCAGGAACATCTGGAGGCCCAAGGTTGGGGACCACTGGTGTAGAGACTATTTGAAAGAGTTTGCGCATCATGTTTGTCATATCAGAAATCAACCCAGAAAGGGAGGGCATGGCCAGTTCTGACCCACAAGTGACACCAGTGTTCTCTTCATGTGACAATGTCTAGAAGCCATGTGGTGTGAAAAGATTCAATCCCCGGAGATTGCGCCCAAAACCATCTTTACGAAAGGGAGATAATCATCTGTATGGTTTCCAGACAAAGTTGCAAATGTGTCCTTTGTTCACACTCATGCTGCCCTTAAGGTTTGACAAGGAACAATCAAAGAGAGCAAAAGTGAAGACAATAATGATAAAATAATAAATAGGGGAAAAAATAAGTAAAAATAATAATATGGAACCTACGACGAAGCAACTCTTGAAAGAAAGCTACATGTGGAAGATTATCTGGCCCTTCCGTAGAATTAAAACTAAGAAGGGGTCAAACAGAAACAGAAGGAATCCATTGTACTCAATATGTTTCCTGTCGAAAGCAATGGGTTTTCAAAAGTTGTATGCATGTTCATTGAATCGTAGAATAATGGGGTTGGAAGAAGCCTATAAAGCCTTAGTTTAATTCAGATGGTTTCCACCATTATGGAGAACAAGTGGATGAAGAAGTAGTTAGAGAGACCTACTTATGGGTCAATCACCAGATGGGGTCTAGGGAAGTTTTCTGTTTATGGGACCTGGAAGTAACATTTCTTTATCCTCCTCAGTGACAATTATGTCCATGGACATGGATGAAAGCCACGAAGGAGACGAAATAGAAAGTCTCTGGACCACCCTCTTGATTTTCTTCATTCTGTTCCTCCTCAGCGTGTGCTACAGTGCCTCAGTGACGATGTTCAAGGTGAGTAGAAATAGGGAGGTCTTAAGATCCATTTCCATTTGGCCATGGGAGAGAAGGGGTGAGTAAAAATAGATACTTCAGTGATAGAATGAGGGCAGAAACGTGGTAAATGTGGAACAGTTTATAATATCAGCTGCCCTGCTATGGAGGACAGAAGGGCCTCATGGAAGAAGACAACTTTATTGACAATATATGCATTAATACAAATAGAAAATAACAGCGTAACAGAAGCAAAACTCTTACTTGCACTGTCTAGACTGGTGTGTTATGGGGACAGGGTTTGGTCTAAAAGTGATATTCAAGAAATTTCCATCATGGATTCAAAGGCTAGAGCCAAGAAGACTCAAAGATTTGTTCCCTGGTTATACAGTACATCTGAATCTCTTTTCCCACACAGAATAAACTTTCTCAAAAGATTTTTTTTCCCTGTTAGACTCGGAGTTCTTTCTGTCAAAAGGTCTTATTCGCCTCAGGATTTCAAACATAGAAGTTTCTTATTCCATGCCAACATAGGTGAGGCATGACTGACCTATGAGTAAACTGAACGATAAAAGCTCGGGGAAAGAAGCTATTTTGAAAATGGACGGGGACAAATTGTTTGGTTTGAGGGCATAAAAAGAAAATGCCGTTCATCTGGTTAAGCTGCCCATATTCAAAAGCTACCCAAGTTTCATCACAGTGGGCGTTTCTGTGAGGCAAAGGAACCTCATAGCCTATGTGTGAGATCTCGGGAATGGATGGATGGATGGATGGATGGATGGATGGATGGATGGATGGATGGATGGATGGATGGATGGATGGATGGATGGATGGATGGATGGGGAGAAGGGTGAGAAGAGATGGGAAAATGTACACTGTTAACTCATATAGAGCAGAAGGAAGGAATTCAGGATTTTGTAACACTTCTGCTGTATGTCCACCAACTCTTCACTCTGATCCCTCCAACAGGTGAAATGGCTTTTCTCCATGGTGGTGCAGCTGAAAAAGCAGCCTTCGGGCCCTGAATACAAGAACGTACTCCATCACGCAATGTAAGAACATGTTCCTGCCCGTCTTTATTGGAGGTTGAAAGAGGAAGTCACAGCTCAGCTCTACATCTTCCGTGGTGGATACTCCACCATCTTGTCTCAGCTTTTTGTCCCATTCCATGAAAAGAGGGGAGGCATTTTTTACCCAAGGACCTTTTAAGAAAGGAAGCAAATGTGCTTGAACTATGGATCAGGATCTGTCACTAGGTGACATCTGTTTACATGGTGCCTTCAAGAATGAAAACTCTTTGGTCTTTAAATGGAAATGGTTTCTACCCACCTTTAGACTCTGGAACTCCCTCCCACTGGAGGCCAAGCTGGCCCCATCTTTGCTCTCCTTCCGCAAGCAGGCCAAAACCGTTCTCTTCCGGCAAGCTTTCCCTCAGTGACCGGGGCTGCCTGAGTGGGATTTTTAAATAGATCGTTGTACCTTATTTCTATGAAAGTGGTTTGTACCTTATTTCTCTGAATGTGTTTTTTTTATGTTGCTTTTGTTTACCATTTTGTGTGTGTGTGTGGCATTTATTCAGTCCTTTTCAGCATTTGTATTCTCACCGTTGTTAGCCTGAATATTGTTTTTTAATGATGTAAGCCTCCTTGGATCCTTTTAAGGAAAAAGGCAGGGTTAAAAAAATGTTTTAAATAAATAAATAAATAAATAAAAACTGTGGTTACCTTATATGCCCATAGCCTCAAGGAAAACAACCTAAGAACTATTCTAGTTATGACGCTTTCCCCCCCCTTTCCTTCCTATTGTCTCCCCCACCTTGTTTCATGTTTTTGCTATTTAAAAATTGTTTTTTATATATATATATATATCTTTTTTTTTTTTTTAT